CTCCAGATTCTTATGTTTTATTTCGTGGAAAACGGGAGTGGTAAATACAAATTCTCCGCTAACTCTTACATAGATGTGATTTTATATGAGTAAAATTTGACCCTCACAGTCATAACCGAAGTCTTATAAGCGCAATATTATGTTGTATATATTAAAACATCACATAGATAAATATTTTCTTAAATATTGTTCATAAAAAAAAGTCTGGTTTTTATTCATAAAAAAAAACCCAAACAAAACATGTAAAATATAGGCAAAACTGTATTCAAGTGTAATATATAGCGAAGGGTAATTCTTTTGCTTTATGAATTTATGGAAAACTTTCTTTGTATATCATTTTGACTGCGGAGTTAAATTCCATTAATATTCATCAACTTGCAAATAAAGAGGAAAAAATCCTGGGGATTTGTCCTCATTCTTTTCCATAAAATTGCAGTATTTCTACACATCGTTATTGTCTTTCAATTTAACATAAAATGATTTAATATTTGTACTATATTCGAAGTCAACACCAAAAATCTTCAATTCTGCACAAGTACATGTCATCCTATCATTGTTTTATTTTGACTTTACGTTCGTTTTACTGTTTCAAGTCAAGACCAAACTTCTTCAAATTTACATCGTGTAGTTTCAAGTCAACACATTGTATGATAAGCCTCTTGTGACGTCATAATGATATAACATCGTGCTATCTGAGCTCAACAACACGTACTTTCAACTGTACGTCGTGTAGTTTTGACTGAGCATATTGTATGGCAAGCCTATCGTGACATTCTAATGATATAACAACTTGCTATCTTAGCTTAACATCACGTACTTTCAGCTGTACATGGTGTAATTTTAAATGAGAAAATTGTGTAATAAGCCTATCGTGACATTATAATGATATAACATCGTGCTGTCTTAGCTGAACAACACGTACTTTCAACTGTACGTCGTGTAGTTTTAAATGAGCATATTGTATGGCAAGCCTATTGTGATATTATTATCATATAAGATATTGCTATCATAGCTCAACATCACGTACTTTCAACTGTACGTCGTGTAGTTTTAAACGAGCATATGGCTTGGTAAGCCTATCGTGACATTCTAATGATATAACAACGTGCCATCTTAGCTTAATATCACGTACTTTCAACTGTACGGCGTGTAGTTTTAAACGAGCAAACTGTATAATAAGCCTACTGTGACATTATAGTGATATAACATCGTGCTATCGTAGCTTAACATTACAAAATTTCAACTGTACGTCCTGTAGTTTCAAGTGAGCATCTTAGCTTAACACGTTGCATCGTGTTGGTTTAAGTCAACAAATTGTATGGTAAGCCTTTCGTTTCAATATAGTGGTGTAGCATCGTGTTATCTTAACTTAACATCATGTACTTTCAACTGTGCATCATGGTGTTATAAATCAACAGATTGCATGATAGACCAATCGTAATATCACAATGATATAACATCGTACTATCTCAGCTCAACATTAATTAATATCAAGTCAGCACCATACATTTTAGCTATTCATTTTATTTGTTATCATAGCTGTTGATGTGGATGACTGAGCAGTATCCATCTGCAAGCTAACATCATGCAACGTCAACTTCACATCAAGTACTTTAAACCCAACGTTACGTGTGTTTGGCATATCATCACAACATCGTGACTTATCATTATACTATCACGACTAAAGCACTTGTCATTGCAAGTCAACATTGCGCAGATTCAACTTAGCATATTGTAATTTAGAGTTAGCATTTTGATGACTCAATTCAACATCACGCTGTCTTAACTTTACATTTTAAGCTTCAGCATAACGTTTTGTAAATCTCTAATATATGACAGCCTAGGCTTTCCATAAAATCAAACAAACTTAAGCAGAAAACTTAACAATTGTTGATGCTGTCGCTGAAGCTGTCACTGGAAAAGCAATCCCTATGTCTCGCTTTCCATGACTTTCGTCGCAGCCGAGACAAAAAACAGTTTACATGACTTTCTACACTTGGTGAGCTAGTGAAACTAAACTTCAATCAAAATTGAACAAAGTCATTAAAAATGCGAAAAACATTCCTTAGCGCTTCGGACACATGAAATTTATAACATGTTGTTTAATTTTTTTTAGAATTAAATATCCAAATCTAGGGAGTTTCCAGATCATTGAGCTTATATTTTATGCTGAGGCCTCATTTGCAAACTTATCTGATCCTGTTTCAAGTGCTGGTGGATAAGTAATATTTTTACAAGGTCTAAATGAAAACATTTGTCCAATTTCTTGGTCTGCTATTAGAAGATCAGACAAATTGTCAAAAGGATATCACTAATGAATGACTTGATGTTTGCTATTTTGTAAGGAGCATTCTCCAGGAAATGATCCAATTTAAGAAAGGAACATCCTATAATCATCTACTGCTTTACTGATAACAAATCTTTGTGTCAAAACATTCACAACTAAACCCATATCCAAGAAACGTTTGTGTTTAAATTTGGCAAGCATAAAAAAAAGTGTTAAGTCTCGGTGACATTACAGTTACATGGATAACAAGAGTACATACACTGAAGTGTCTAACCTGCTTTACTGACCATTGATTTAATGTTGAAAGTCTTAAAGATAAAGGTTTTAATACAAGTATCACATACACTTACCATTTTTAAAGATCAATGTCAATGAGGTCTAGGTCACATAAATCCTAGTTGGCCTACTGCTTATAGTATTTGAAAAACAGAAACTTAACATTGACCAATGAACCATGAAAATGAGGTCAAGGTCAGATTATACCTGCCAGACAGACATGTACACCTTACAATCATTCCATACATCAAATATAGTTGACATGTTGCTTATAGTAAATAAAAAACAGACCAAAACACAAAACCTTAAATTTGACCAATGAACCATGAAAATAAGGTCAAGGTCAAATGAAAAATGCCAGACTGACATGTATCCCTTACAACCATTTTATAACTACTTATAGTATCTGAGAAACGGACCTTTACATGTAACTTTAACCTTGATCACTGAACAAAATGAGGTCTAGATCAGGTGAACCCTACCTGATGGACATATAGACGTTGCAAGGAACCCATATACCAAATATGGTAATCCTATTACTCATCATTATAAGTGAGAAATTCACATGAAAATAAAAACCAATAAATTTTTTTCAAGCAGTCACTGAACCATGAAAATAAGGTCAAGGACAATAGACATATAACAGATGGAAACTTTGTTGCATAAGGTATCTGCATACAAGGTATGAAGCATCCAGGTTTTCTACCTACTGAAATATAAAGCTTTCTTCAAATAGTTTACACTGCCGCTGCTGGATAGTAATCCTTATGTCTGTTTACTGGGACTTTTGTTGCAGATGAGAGAATAAACAGCTGCGCCATGAGCGCATGATACGCCCGTCGTCTTGTGTGTGAATTTTTATGCAAGAATCATAAATAGTTTCTGACATACGGCGCGACATGCGAAAAACCCCCTTTTTTTTACAAAAAACTCAATATCTCTAAAATAAAATTTTGAATCAAAACCAAAAAGTATAGAGATCTTTAGATTAATATAACTAAGAAGTGTGTAAAATTTTAAGCAATAATCATAAATCATTTTTGAGATACGGTGCGACATGTGAAAACCCCCCTTTTAAAAAAAAAAAAAAATCAAAATCTCTAAAATAAAATTTTGAATCAAAACCAAAAAGTATACAGATCTTTAGATTAATATAACTCAGAAGTGTGTAAAGTTTAAAGCAAAAATCATAAATCGTTTTTGAGATACGGTGCGACATGTGAAAACCCCCCTTTTAAAAAAAAAAAAAAATCAAAATCTCTAAAATAAAATTTTGAATCATCACCAAAAAGTATACAGATCTTAAGATTAATATAACTAAGAAGTGTGTAAAGTTTTAAGCAATAATCATAAATTGTTTTTGAGATACCGCGCGACATGTGAAAAAACACACACACCTGTTTTAGTTACTAAGTCCTGTAATTCAAAAAGTTTTAATCTTATTTTCACCAAAAAGTATACAGATCGTTTGATCATCATAAGAAACAACTATGTTAAGTTTCATAACATTTGGATAAGTCGTTCTCAAGTTACGGTGCGACATGTTTACGCCGGACAGACGACATTTGTATACCATAATACGTCCCGTCAAAATTTTGACGGGCGTATAAAAACCAGCAGCCAGATATTTGACTGTTTAACAAAAGAAGGGGCTGATTTCCATCCTTTAATCAAAGTTAATCTAAGTGCCGGAAAAGGACCATGAAAGTGAAAATATGGATACATGAAATTTGACAGTCTTAATAATTAGATTATTTTTCTTTCATTCTGGAAAACTTTTAAAGTTTTATGTACAGACTATTAATTTCAAATGTTCTAAGAAAGACGTGGGAATGTGTTATATCTGTATATTTATCATATGTTTAATTTCATCTCCACATGAGCTGGAGTTATAAATATATATACCAACATCAGATTTTACATTTGTAACAGCCTGTTATATGTCATGCTAAGGCTTTTTATAGATTTCAGTGCGTTATGCATTTTGCTAATTGTACGCAGTGACTTTATTTGTTTACATCTTTGTCCTTTTGTCTCTTTTAGAAAGTTGTCAAACATACCACATCTCCTTATTTTATATAACAAGGAAGATTCACACAAAGTTTGGTTCAAATCTGTTACAGAAAAGATTTTTGGCTTGATGGACACCTCATATGTTATGGCAATAGCTGACATTGACTTTTTTGTTTGGGCAAGCTAAAATTAATTTAGTGATAGAGCATGCAGACAATAATTCTGAAATCTGAATTCAGAAATAACTTAAAAGATGTCATAATTATAGCTCAAAATTTGTGTCATAACACTTGAAAGCTGTGTCTTTTTAGAAATAATGCTATGATTACACTTTGAATGTTTGACCATTATTACCCTTTTATAAACATACTTCACAAAGTTCGAAGTGAAAGCAGATCTTCTCACTATTTTGATATAAAATTACCTTCATAAGTTTTAACAGAATATTATCTACAGCTGAGTGAGTGTAACTAGTCAGCAGTACAGACAGTCCTAGCAGATTCAGTACTCTTGCTAAAGCTACTATTGTTGCTGTTTTACCTGTAATAGTTATGTATATATGACAACAGTTTAAAACAAGAAAATAGTTAGACTTGGTACTACAAAGTGTATTAATTTATTGCTTTTTCTCTCTCAAAAAAAGAAAAATATATTTTTAGTAAAGTTTCAAAGCATTGAAAAAAATATACCTTAATATGTAAAGGATGGAAAAAGAAAAAGCAATGAGTTAAGAAGCAAGAGGCTCCTAAGAAGCCTGAATCACTCACCTGTCAAAATTTGAAAAAATAGCCATATACTTGAAAAATGAGTAAAAAAGTTTATTTACGGGCAATAACTCATATACAGAGCCATCCACTGGATTTGGTCAATAACCTATCGATTACAGTTTTAGAAAACTTTTCTTAAGAAAGGACCGAAATATCGTTCTCCATCTAAAATAGATTGGAAACAGTGTCGTCAGATCATTAAAGACGCTCTATCTGTCTACTGTAAAAATTGGTGTAAACGTGAAAAATCTGATAAAAAAATCAAATTAGTAATAGGGTCCATGATATTCCCATTTCCAGAATAAAAAATAAACTCCAAGTACTCGCAAAGCGGTTTGTGTTCGTACCGGCATACAAAGCAGCAAATAATGTAGTGGTGGTGTGACGCATATACTACACGGAAGTTCTCCAAAACAAAATTACAAATTCATCTACATTCAGGTCCGTACGCTCCACAGAGAGTCAAATTGTAAACAAGCATATAACTGCCACTACCCAGCTTAAGGCCTCTTCCGAACATTTGAAAGTCCCTACTATTTACTGGTTACCTAAATTGCACAAAAAACCATTTAAATTCCGTTTCATCTCCACATCTAGTAAGTGTTCTACTACTAATCTATCAGTGCTTCTAACTACCTCCCTTACTACTATCAAAGAACTTGTTATTAACTTTTTTAATAAAGCTTATGAAAATAATGGTATTAATTATTTTTGGAGTGTTAAAAATTCTTTAGAGGTTTTAGATAAAATACATGCTTTTGATGGTCCTTTTAATTCTGTTGACAGTTATGATTTTTCTACTCTCAATACTACACTTCCACACAAAAAAAAAGAAAAAAAAGTTTTCATATTTAATTAAATGGTCTTTTGAAAAATCTCATTACAAATTTATTTGCTGTAACTCGTTTAAAGCCTTTTTCTGTAACGAAAAAGGAAAGTATGCTAGATACACTTACTGGAAATGTGAAGATATGATTGAAGCTTTAAATTTTCTCCTGGACAACATATATGTACGTTTCGGCGATAGAATGTATCGACAGGTAGTAGGTATTCCTATGGGCACTAACTGCGCCCCTTTAATAGCAGATTTATTTCTGTATTGCTATGAATCTCAGTTTATGACCAAACTCAGTAAAGACACGTCATTGTTACATTTGGTTGATACATTCAACAATACCTTCCGTTATCTAGATGATATTTTTTCGTTAAATAATCCAGAGTTCTCTAAATATACTACCGAAATTTACCCAATAGAACTTACTTTAACTAAATCTAACATAAACAGAAGTAGTTGTCCTTTTCTGGATTTGGACATTTCAATCTCTAAAGGAAAACTCCATACGAAAATTTACGACAAAAGAGACGATTTTTCATTCCCTATTGTTAATTTTCCTTTTTTAGACGCCAATGTTCCTTTGGCTCCATCATACGGTGTATATATATCCCAACTCGTTCATTATGCCCGTGTGTGTAGTGATGTCATAGATTTTAACGAACGTAATCAATGCATCACTGGTAAATTATTAAATCAAGGATTTCGTTACCATAAATTACGTAAAACTTTTGCTAAGTTCTTTCATAGATACAAAGATTTGATTAGTAAATTTGGCTGTACTTGTAGAAAACTGATTAAAAAAGGTATTTCACATCCTAAATTTTACGGTAATATTGTACTTAAAGCGCGGAAATCACTATGTGATCCGTGTAAACTCATCGACCTTTAAACAGGCTTATTAGTAAAGGTTATCTTACCAATGTTGTAATTAGATCTTTGAATATAGTTTACATTGGCACTAATATCGATTTTGTCATCAGCAAATTAAAACATAACTAAATTTGTATTTTTTTCAAGTGGGATGTATAAAGACACACCCACGTTCGTTTAGATCTATAAAGAGGTTAAACTCCTAACTATCATACTGTCTGTCGTTACATTTATTTTTGGCATTGCACTAGTCATGTCTTCTTTGACTGTCCATGACGTTAAAATACTAAATCCCTGGGATGTGTTTTAGTTGATTTTAGTCTCTGATGCATGATTTTTTATTATTAATTGTTTTGGCTTTTAACTAGCTGTCAGTAACTGCGAGTACTCTCAAATCGTACTTTCTTGTTTATTTGACCTGTTGATACTAATTGTATTGCTTTTTTGTTATTTAATGTTATTCAGGGTTATATCTGGTCTATATACCAGCTTTTATAAGTGTTTGGTATAACTATAAATTTTCACTTCATACTATGAACATCAAAATTATTTATTTTGTAATAATATTTCCTTTCTCTATTGGTACTGTACACGTATACCTGACAACAAAATTATTTTTATTTACCTGTGTTTAAAGTTATTGCAAATGGATGGTTTTTTTGTTCGAGCATATTGTTTTTTCTTTAATTGTTTAACATTTCTTACCGATATATTATGTTACTTTTATTATTCTTCCCTTAGTTTATTTATTTTGTATTCAAAATTATTTATTTTGTAAAAATATTTCCTTTCTCTATTGGTACTGTACAGGTATACCTAACAACAAAATTATTTTCATTTACCTGTGTTTAAAGTTATTGCAAATGGATGGTATTTTTGTTCGAGCATATTGTTTTTCTTTAATTGTTTAACATTTCTTACCGATATAACATGTTACTTTTATTATTCTTCCCTTAGTTTATTTATTTTGTATTTACATTGTGTCATAGGTCAAATTTATTTGTTCAGTGTATGTTCAATGGTGTTAATATGTCCTTTGATTGAGTTAAGCTATTTCAGTTGATATTTTATAGTGTGTCTTTCTATGTTGTGATGTTACACTATTGTTTCAGAAAAAGGGTGAAGGTTTGGTACCATTAAAACATTTAAACCCACTGCATTTGTTTGCACCTGTCCTAAGTCAGGACTCTGATGTTCAGTAGTTGTCGTTTGTTGATGTGGTTCATAAGTGTTTCTCGTTTCTCGTTTTTTATATAGATTAGACCGTTGGTTTTCCCGTTTGAATGGTTTTACACTAGTAATTTTTTGGGGCCCTTTATAGCTTACTATTCGGTGTGAGCCAAGGCTCCGTGTTGAAGACCGTACTGTGACCTATAATGGTTTACTTTTATAAATTTTTACTTGGATGGAGAGTTGTCTCATTGGCACTCATACCACATCTTCTTATATCTATATAGTAGTCAAAAATTCAAAAGTCAGTAAAACATTGTCATTTAAGGGCAATTACTACTAAAAGGGGTTATCATATGATTTCTTTCATATTGGCATTCTTGTAGATCTCGTATTGCTAATCAATTTTGCTGTTTATAGTTTCTACCTTTCTATTCCAGTTTTCAAGATAACAGGCAAAAACTTGAAAATTAGTCAAAGATTGTTCTTTAAGGGCAATAATTCATAAAAATAATTTTCATCTGATAATTTTAGTAGAAGGAGGAAGTTGGCTTTCTGAGCATTTTTGCCCTGTCAGAATTTTCTAAGATTTTAAAGATATTAGACAATCATAATGCATTTCACCCGTATGTTCTATTATCAGCCATGGCAGCCATGTTGGTTGTTTGGCAGAAACAAATCAAAGTGATCTGAAATCACTGATGGAAAGATTGGAAGAATTGTGTGTATAATTTCAATCATATTTTGCTCTTCCATAGCAGTGATGGTGGACAAGAAAAACTTGCTATTATAAAATAAGCACTATTGCATATTTGTTAGTTACATTACTGCAGATTTTTTACAAAGATAATCAATTTTTCAGTGCATAAAATAGCTTAATGTAGGTTGGTCACTAATTTGCATAATAAATTCTTTTAAGTTGCAACTTATATTTTTATTTTTTAAAACAGAAGAAATTACCTACTAAAAAAAATATTTACATTTATCTTATTTTTTGCTTAAAACAGTGTAAATCAAAAGGTTAATATAGGTAAATGATTAAAATCTATCATCTGTATTCAATTTTATTAAAGAAATGCACATTTAATATATATAGATCAAACATCTATCTAATACTAATGAGGTCAAGTTATTGTGTATTGAGTGGTCTGTCATGTCATGTTATGTATAAACTCAATAGTTATGTAATTTGGTCAATTATGATTGGCATTAAAGAGGAGGGGTCTATATACAATTCCAATTATTGCCCCACCCTTTGTGTTTAATTGTTCTTTGATCATGACATACTGATATTGTATCAATACTCTTACTTAATCAAAAAGACAAAACTAGCCAGTAAATTGAAAAAAGTAAAGACTATTATTCTAGAAAAAATGCTCTTAAGATGTAACCAATTTTTTTACAGTTCATTCCTGCATATGTACACAGACATGAGAACAATTGGGAACTATATGTTAGTGTGTATAGATTTAGTTACTGATTTAGTAGCAAATCTGTCTACTTTCTGTTTTGGAGGCCGTGCCTTAGGAAAGAATTGGAACAATTGCAATCTTTCCAAAAACACAAACTTTATACTTAGTCCCTAAGGATCATTAGTTAAAAGTTTGGTTGAAATTGGTCGAGTAGTTTCAGAGATGATTTTCGTAGACGTTTACCACATCGGATGCCAAGTGATGGCAATAGATCATCAGGACAAAAGCAAACAAGAATAAAATGCTCCGCTGGGCGCAGCTTGATACGACCGCAGAGGTCGAACCCTGAACAGTTGGGGCAAGTATGGACACAACATTCAAGCTTAATACAGCACTGAATTTGGATTGTAATCAAATATTTGACACAGCATAGGTTTCTGACACAGAATGAATGTGGTCTAAGAACTTAGAAATTTTTAATTTACC